GCCTGACAGCAACGTGTCCGTGAAGACTGACCCGTGACGTGGGTCTGCTGAGGGGGACTCCCTTTGACAGAAAACAAGGTGTTTCCCCAGAGTCGGAGGTCTGCTTCCACAGAGGAAGGGACAATGATCATCCGTCGTTTGTTTTACTGGATCCACATGCAGACGTGCAAAACACCTCTGGAGGCGTCTCATGTGAAACAAACCAGCGGAAAACACTGTGTGAGTGACATCATTTCCAACAGCTTCATGACGGAGACAGCTGTTATCACTTGCCAGGTCTTACGTGGCTGAGTTGACTTTTTTTTTTTTTTTTTTAAAGTGTCGAATCTAGTTTGTGATAAACGAGTTTTCATGGTGGTTGAATTTAATTCCACTCCCAGAAACAAATGTCTGGGCCGGAAAAAAATCGAGCCTCCTTCCAATTTATGGCGAAGCCCAGATTTAACAGGTGTGATGTCAACACCTGATCCTGCATCAGCGCCTCCTGTCTGAAGTGACAGGAGCAGCAGATCATCCAAGTAAAACAAAAACTCTCGTCTCTGTGTTAGGATGACCGGTATGCGTTCTCTGGATGTTAAACAACAGATCCAAGAACGGTCTCACCCCTCCGATCCGTGAGTAAAAACCTTGTGTTTTCTCTCCCTTGGGGAACTCTGTAGATTACTTTTATCAGAAAACACTTGGATTTCTGCATTTAGGGATGAGAATCAGTCTGATGATGACGGGACCGTTTTTATAACTCCTCTGAATGGAGGGGTTCGGGTTGCAAACTGTAACTTGTACCATTTGCATAAAACCTTGTCCATCCATCTGAAAAAACGGCGAGCATGTTTTAGCCACTCTATGTAACGTTCGTAGGGTGAACGTGCGTTAAGTGATGTGTCATGTTTTGTACGGCTGTCAGCAGTCCGCCCCTCAACCGCCGTCATGCGTCGCGGGAATGTTTTCTGTGTGATCCCGGGCGAGGCTTGAGCTGAAGGCGAAGGGTGTGACAGCTGATGACGCGGTGGGGCTGCGCGTTTGACGTCGCTGTGCGAACATTGAAAAGGCGGAGGGCGTGACTTCGTTTACGCCGTGCTGTTGGAGTGAAGGCTGCTAGCCCCGCGGGAGCACCCGTTGTTCTCTGGAGGGACGCGCGCCGCTCTCGCTGGAGGGGCGCGCGCTGGAGGGAGGCGGGACTCATTACCGGGTTCTTCAGCTGCTTCACGTTTAAGCTGCGGTGAGCTGCCGAAAGCTGAGACGCGGTGGGTGACGGCTGCCCGCGTTGATTCGTCGAGACGGGTGTCATTTCTTGTGAGAGAGAAGGGCCCCCACCCGAACCAGCCTGCGGACCACATTTATACCGATGTGAGCTGGTTAGCGCCGGCAGCTGTGTGTGTGCGCCAGCATCAACGCAGCGCCGTTGGATGGAGGCTGTTCATCTTAGTGATCGACTCGTCATGTCAAGAGCGGCGGTGAGTTAAAACCCTGTTTAAGGACACCGGCTCATGTGGAGGCTGTTCCATCCCACGAGTGCGAGTTGACACCGCTTGAGTGAGGATCGTGCAGTTCTAGTTGGTAATGAGTTATTTTCGCTTACCGTTGTGCCGTGATCGACTCGTCATGTCTAGAGCGACGGTGAATTTAAAAACCTTTAATTAAGGACACCGGCTCATGTGTGGAGGCTGTTCTGTGATCGACTCGTCATGTCTTAGAGCAACGGTGAGTTTAAAAACCTTTATTTAAGGACACCGGCTCGTGTGTGGGGCTGTTTCATCCCACGAGTGCGAGTTGACATTGCTTGGGTGAAAAACGTGCAGCCCGGGATTATAACGAGTTATTTTCACTTACCATCGTGCCCTGTAAGCGACTAGTAATGTCTTGGAGCGGCGGTGAGTTTAAAAAGCCTTATTAAGGACACCGGCTCTTATGTGTGCGGCCGCTGTGAGCTCATCCGGGCTTACAGACTGGCTAAAAAACAGACACTTTGATCATTAATGATGATTTATTTCAACTTTCGTGTCACTTTTACACACACCCTCCGGAGACCGTCATTTTGAGAGCTTTCTCTCTCATGAGCTCTGCGATTGTTTGCCCAGAGCGCTGTCTTGCAGGCGAACTCTGGGGAAACGCTGAGCTGCAGGCTGCCGGAGTGAAGAGGGCTGGATTCTGACGGGCGGGGCTGGTGGTGGAACTCAGCGAGAGCCGCGGCCGTGGAAAAGTCGAAGCTTGCTCGCGACGGTCCCTCCAGCGGGGACGGGGTGGACCGCGCGGCTTGATGAGGTGGCGCACAGCTTCTGGCACCTCCTCTGACTGTTTCACTTCGCCAGCATGGTTTGAAGCTGCTCTGAACAGCGCGTCCGCGATGGCTTCATCAGGTCTTGTGCAGATTCTCCGGCAGCGAGGGGAGTAACGAAGCCAGGTGGATCGTTGGATCATCGTCATCCGCGCTGCAGTCCTCGACAGGCAAACCGTGGGAGAGGCACACATGTTGAGCTGGCGTCAGCTGCCTTACAGAGGGAGTTCTTCGTCTCCAAGGCAGGTCTGCGGCCTTCAATCCCTTGGACATGCTATATGCTAGCAGCGCACGTTGTTGCTAGCTGCGGCTGCCTGAAAACACGTCGGTGGGCTTGATTGGAGAGCGTGGTCGCCGTCTGGTTCCTCCGGAGGGACGGGACGCTGCTCCGACCTGGGCAGCTTCGCTCCGGAAGCTTCTGCGAGGCTTGGCTCCAGGGGGGGTTACCGAGGAATAGCCCCGCTCGGTGAATCCCTCAACTCTGGTGATGGGAGCGGACTGGGGACCGACTCCTCTAATCTACCAGGAAAGAACCGTCTGCGGCCTCGCCCGTCGAACGTCCTGTTGGAACGTGAGGCCGTATGGATCAAGACGGTGAGCCACGGTGGAGCCCAGTGAAAAACAACCTTTCCGCCGATCATCCGAACTGGCGGGAAAAAGGCGAGGGACGTAGAAAAAAAGGGGTCCCTTATGTCAGCCTCCTCCTGGGTTCCGCCGGGCAACCCCTGAGGGCGCTGTCGGCCGGGAGCGGTGTGGTCGCCGATGCGAAACGAGGTGGGATGGGGTGAGCATTCACTCAGCCCCCCTCCACCTACACTACGCTCCCCAGGAGGGAATGAGCAGCGGGGGCTGCAGCTGAGCACGCCTTGCCCCGGAGGAACCATCCGGTTCGCCCCGAGGGTCGGCGATAAGAGGAAAAAACACAAGATGGCGTTGTCCAGCGTGTAGTGACCTGTCACTGGGAAATGTTCCCCGACGCTTACCTTGGAATAAGACTGCTGTCATCTTCTCCTCGGGGAGGAGAACTCACCGGACGACCGGAGGTCGACTGCCGGGCCAAGCATCCTTCACAAAGGTTGGTCATTTACACAATTTATCTTCTTTGTTCTTCTGACAGTGCTATATTAGCTCGCTGAAGAAAAAATGGGAGCCGATTTCCCGCTCTTAACGTAATTTATACGGACCGGGTGGGGCCCACACAGCAGGTGGGCGTGGACTAATTTTTTCAGTGCTTATGCTCTGCATAACGGGATAAACCCACTAAAGCGAAGGCCTTAAAGGGCGAAGCTTATACGACATAGAACAGCTGACCTTTTCATTTCATCAATATACTCTCCACAACAGGAACGTTTAATGATCTGTGCAGTGATAGTTTGCATTTATTATAAGAGCCAGATACTTTAAATGAGGCTTAATTTGAGGTTCCATGTCCCCTCAGTTACATGCACAGCATCAAAACCTGTGTAATATAAATGTCATTATTTTACTTGAAGTCTCAGCTGACATCTTAAAAAAAAAAAAAAAAAAAACAGGAAGTCTGTGACCGTGTGGACTCATGATTGGACCTGAAGTCTTTTCTGTTATGTGTTTGCTGCCACCTTTTTTTAATTTAGGCTAAATTATTGCCAGATGTATTGTCATTGAACACAATCTGCACAATCACGGTGATAAAGATGACAAAAGCATACAGGTAAAGATGAAAAAAAAGTTATACAAGTTTTGCGGTGGACCTTAAAACACACCAACATGAGTTAAGCTTAAACCATACCATACCACTTTATTTATAGAGCACTCAAAACAGTAGTAAGGCCAACTAAAGTGCTGTATAGAACAAAAAAGCAAAGCACACGGCAAAATATATATAAAAAAAGTCAAATGAAAATATAGATGTGAATGGAAGAAGATAACTAAATGGCTAACATTGTAGAATACAGACAGGTTAAAAACTAATCACACTGTATAAAAAGCCAGGGAATAAAAATGTTTTTTTTTTTTTTTAGCGAGACTTAAGAACAAGGAGAGGGGGCCCTACCTGACATGCAGTGGTCAATCATTCCAGAGTATTGGACCTGCAACAGAGAAGGCCCTGTCACCTCTGAACTTACGACGGGTTCCTGGAACCAAAAAAAGCATCTGATTCAATGGGATTAACCTGTCTAACTAAAGGTTGAATGAATGATTCACTGACCTCAGCGAACGCTGTGGGACATATGGCTGCAGCAGCTCAGCGAGATAAGAGGGGCCAGAACTGTTCAGAGATTAAAAAAAAAAAAACATAAAAAAAAGATTTTTAACTGAATTCAAAAGTGAACTGGGAGCCAATGCAGGGAGGCCAAAACTGGTATAATGTGCTCTCTTTAGCCTGTGCCAATTAAAAATCGGGCTGCAGCATTTTGGACTAGTTTTAAATGTGCAATGGAGGTCTGACAGATTCCAAACAGAAGTGCATTGCAGTAATCATGCCTGGATCGTATGAAAGAATGTATTACTGTCTCAAGGTTGCTTTTGGACAGTATGGGCCATTGGAAGGAAACATGACTTCTGTCTTATTCTCATTAAACAGTCAATCCCTACTTTAAAGTTTCATGTGACAGGAAAGTCCCATTGCCCACTAATTAAAAATAATACTGTAGTCTTTCTCAAAGCTATCAACAGGAGCAAAAAGTAATATGAGCCTGAATCCTGAACATGAACCTCAACCTTTGTTTTTATGCTGTCTTTCTAGTTACCTAGATATTGGCACCAGGAAGAGGAGGATGATGCAGGCTCAGCCACTGCAGGTGAGGAAGGAGTTATGCTAATGTTCTGTTTTAACATGAGCAGGAAGTATGCCTCTGTTGAAGACGGTAAAAAAACAACAACTTCTACACATTATCTAGAACAGCACTTGTTACTGTGCTGTCCAGCAAAACTGAGTAATGACTCAACATGACACAAAAGTGGGCAGCATGGTGGCACAGTTAGTAGAGCTGCCACCTCTCAGCAAGAAGGTCGCTGGTTCAAATCTGAGCAGGGGTGCCATTCTGGATTGAGTTTGCATGTTCTCTCCGTGCATGCGTGGGTTTTCTCCGTGTACTCCGGTTTCGTCCCACAGACCAAAAACATGCATGTTAGTCTGATTGGTAACTCAAAATTGTCCCTAGGTGTGAGTGAGAAAGTGAATGGCTGTTTGTCTCGTTTGTCTCTATGTGTCCCTGTGATGGGCTGGAGACCTGTCCAGGGTGTCCCCTGCCTCTCACACAGTGATAGCTGGACATGGGCACCAGTGACTCCTGCAACCCAAAAAAGAAGAAGCGGGTAAAAGATAATGAATGGATGCATAGATGGATGGATGGTTGACACGAAAGTGTCAGCTCAGAATGTCCTTGTCTCCCTAACTAAAACAAAAGAAAAACACCACAAAACGCTGAGCCTTTGCTTCGACACGTGTGGATCTTTATACGATCTTTTATAAGCGAGTGTCTCATTTGGCTGTGACTGTTGGAGAACTGCATCTGTAAGGAAGTCCTCCAAGTATTGTATCTCTGAAATGTTCATGGGTGTTCTCTGTTGCTCTGAAAGTCCCAGAGAGGAGAAAATCTTAATGCTTGACTTTTGAACATGGTCAAAAAATTAGAGTGAGAAATATTGTTCAAAAACAGTCACTGAGTCTTTGAGCGTGTCTCAAATTCGTCTTGAACTTATCTCAGTTTTGCTGAGGGATTTTCCAACCTTTCCTACACGCTGTGTGCACACAGCTATCAGCCTGAACTTTCAAAGGCTGGCTGCTCAAAATACTGCCACGTGGCCCACTGGTCACCTTGTTACACACCCAGCACAGAGTGAGAATACGTATTTTCTCACAACTTTTTCCTCAATTTTGAGACACCAGCTAACTGTCAGCCCAGTGAGAAACTATTTTCACTGATGGTTTGAAACAAGGATCTTCTTCTCATGCTTTAACCAGAAAGGTAAATAGATCTGGGTATTTGATACCAAATAATACAACTCTGGACCTGTTGCATTGAGTGTCTTATGATTATTATTTAGAAATTCACTTGTAGATTATAAATCATTTACCGGTAGTTACATTTTTGAGCCGTAGAACTGAAAAGTAGAAACATTTTTGAAGCCACTGTTATGATAAAATAATTAAATATGCATTATTGCTGTTTGGTTTCAGCTACAGCATCTTTGCTGTCTTTTCAGTGTTTTCACATTTAACAATCTATCCTGAATGTGAGATAAATAGAGTTTTCTCACCTTGTTGTAAAGAGTTTAAAAGAGTGTTTCCAGCAAGGTGTAAGGCAAAGCTTGTCTCCTTTGTTGTTATCTCCTTGTTGTCTCTTTGACCATGCATTATTGATTTATGGATCATAACCAGCCCTGCTTTTAATGCATCTTTAATAACAGCTATAAAGTCACAGTGAGAGAATGCAGGTAGCCCACATGCTCACACGCCAACCATGGGCTCTCGTTTCATGCAAAAGAAAAGCACTTGAAAATGTCTCCATAATAGGTTTGAGTTTAAGAAAAGCATCAAAATGTGTGCTAATTTCTAATGTACCAAACTGTAAAAAACATTTTCTGCACTGTTAGGAGGACTTTATGGTCTACTGCTGCAGCATCTTATTCTTATAGTGTTATTTGCTTATTATCTGTTGAATCATCATAGATGTTGCTCGCAGTGTTGCTGTGATTTCCAGAGCCCCAAAGGTTTGCTCTAGTTTATTAGGACCTTGCATTTCTTTCACTTTAAGCTGCCTGACTTGGTGAAATAAAGGTAAAAACTCTCTGCTTTTTGTATGACTAGCAAGTCTGTCTTTATTTGTATCATTCATGGATGGATGGATGGATGGTATCATGTCACCAAAGGAGGAACGCTGATGATATATTTTTCTGTTGTGGGTAAAATCAAATAAATTACATTGATTTAACTGCCATCGAGTCAATAAAGAAAGTTTGAGACAATTTGGTGACAATGCAATAATATTTTATGTGCTATAAAATTTTAATAGAGAAGTAAGTCTGTGCATGGAATTCCTTAGGCACTCATCTATCCCTGGTATTCCTTGTTCTTCTTTGTCCCTGTCCTTTTATTATCTGTCTCAAGTGTTGTGTTCTTTGACTTTTAAGATTGCACATGATTTCAGTCACAATGTGAATCTGAAACTATTTTATTACTGCAGAATGAAGAATTTTTTTTTTTTTTTTTTTTCAGTATTGTTGAATTTGTCTTTCAGCCCTCACACCTCTGTTGCCTGGTTGCACTCACAGATCCCAGAAGACTGTGATGTACATCCTCCCTTATCTAGTTTCCCCCAGGATCCAATCCCTTCGTCCGTGTCGCTGCAGGCTGACGGTGCTTAGGGACCTGCAGGGTTCTCTCTTTTCAAAGAATCACAAAAGACTCATTCTTTTGGCGTTAGAAGAGATCAGAGACATATTCTTTTCAGCCTTTTTTCCTTTGTTACTCGTGTATCTTTTGATGCAGCCTAGCTTGTGCTTTGTGCATTGATTTTGTAAAACAATTTTTAAGAGACTTTCAAGAGATATTTGTTATTGGCTTAAAGATTTGCATTATGCCTCATGTTGTAGGCTAAATTTAGTGATGCTTGAATTTATACTCTTCTGACAGTCCTGGATGCACAGTTATATTTAGGATCTATAACTAACCTTATCCACTGGACATTCTACCATCAGTGTTTTCTTTAGTCTCCAGGCATAAGTCCCTAAAGTTTTACTGGTCTGTTGTTCTGAGCCTTTGACTGTTCTTTCAAGCTCCCCAAAGGGCAGGATGATCTGCTAACAAGCTTTCAAGACATAAAAATGTGTCATGATTTTCTATAGGTGTGTTTGGATTTAGTACTTATAGGCCCGGTTGGTTTCATAGATTTTTTGGCAACTGTAAGCTCCATGCACCTTCTAACTTTTTCTGTTTCTTTCTCGTTTTATCTTTCCAGCTTAAACCGTTGCCACCGAACAGAATCATTGTGTCAGCTCGATTTCTGAAACCCATAAAAGATCCAAGCACAATATTGTAAGTTCACCCCCTTTGAACACTAACAGTCATGAACAAGTGTTGCTGCTTAACATGCTGCACTTAACACACATACACAAGAATCTATCTCTGAATAAAGGAAACTAAGAACAACACAGAAAGAGGGATTGACTGAACCAAGGATGTCCAGTCTTGGTCCTGGAAGGTCATTATCATGCAATAATTATAGATTGATTTGGCTCAGCATGCCTGATTTGAATCAGTGGGTGATTTAACAGGCTTCTGCAGTAAATATCAAGATACTTTGACAATTGAATCAGGTGTTCTGGAGCAGAGAAACCTCTAAAACATGCAGGATAGTGGCCCTCAAGAACCAGGATTGGACACCTCTGGAGTAAAGGCCTGGTTATACTTCAACAATATGTAAGACGTTGGTTCTTACTGGTGTAATTAGACGGTCTTTTCCTCACTGACATTTCATACTTAAAAGACAAACCGTAGGGGAGAAATCCTGATAAGTCCTCTCACTGCAGCACACACCATCAAATGTTTATTTTTAATTGATGATGGAGGAGGAAGATCTGGTATTTCTAATGCTAACTGAGGCGAAGCGTTATTGTTTAAATTTGTCTCAAAGAGACCACCACCATTCAGAACAAAGAGCAGATAAAAAAAAAAACCCCAAAACCCCAGGATATTAGGTTAGTATACAGAACAAAAATAGCTGACACAGAAAGGAGGTAAACAAATTAGTAATAAAACTAAAATGGAAAAAAAAAGATTTTTTTTTAAAATGATAAGACAACAACAGAGTTTGCCACACTTCAATTCCACTGATTTTGCCATTTTCTTGTTGTGGAAGATGTTTTTTTTGACACTGCATGTGTTTTATTTTGGCAGTGTGGTAGCCAATGGTGACACCTTGAACCCTGCAATAAGACTTCTGATCCACCACAGGATAATGGGACAGTTCGACAAAATTCTGGAACTGATAACAGAGAAGATGGGTTTGAGGGTCCTGGGAGGCGTTCGGAGGTAAAACAGCAACGACTGAACAAACAAACTGAATTTGTATGAATAAAAAAATTTCTATTTTGCTGCAAACCCAATAATGATCCTGATGATGATGATCCTGGTCATGATCCTGTAAGCTGCTCCCATCAGGCCTTCTAACATTGGAATTAGTGGAACCAAAACACATGTTCTTGTTCTCGCGGTATCTGTATACAATGTGTTAATATATGTGCTTTGGTTATGAGTTATTGAATAGATCCATTGTTCGGTGGTAAACTGGTGCACACCGATGATGATAGTCTCACCTTCCTTTGTGTGCTTCAGCCTGTACACCTATGACGGCCACCAGGTGACTGATGGGAACAAGCTGGAGTGCGGGCAGCTTTATGTGGCTGTAGGAAGAGAGAGATTCAAGAAGCTTCCATACAGCGACATTCTTTTCACCAGACCCAAAGGAACAAGGAGGATGAAAGGGTAACAGCTCTGAACTTCTTAAAATCTACCAAATACCATGTTGGAAGGTTCAAACATAAACTTTATCAGTCACACTACTGCAGTTTAAATTTGATTGTTTTTCTTCTCTTCCATGCATATAGAACAAATAGTTTAAACCCATTTTATGAAAACATTTTGATGCATTCATCAAAACAAAAATTTATTAGAAACTGTTTTAATTTTTTATTCTCCAACATGAAAATATACATCATTCAGGTTTTTGTTGGAGGACATTTATTACTGTACTTTATTACTACTTACTTTACTATTACTATTACTCTAATTTGTTACTACTTACGATACTATCTTTTGTTCCCCGTCGTGGAATAAAGTGGATATTGGAAATACCATTTTCAGCCCATCTTGTGAGCTGGATAACTTGAAAAATAAGTGACATACCAAATTTGATTTTGGTGTGAGACTGTTCTTGTCAAAAAATAGGTTGCTACATCAAAATCTAAGGGTGCGACAACACCAGCCCTGTTTAGTCCACTTTAATCGAACTCTAGTTCATTTGCCTAGAAAGTCTGGTTTGTTTGGGGAAGTGTGAATGCACAATCTAACTCTGATGCGGACCAAAAAAAGTGAACTCTGGTCCGTCTAAAAACCTAGGTCTCGGTTCGGTTGAAGTGAACTCTAGCATGGCTCGAATGCATATGTGGATGCAAGCGGACCAGAGACCGCTCCAAAAGTAGAAAGTGGACTACAGCGCAGGGCATTCTGGGTAAATGCAACCAAAACAAAGGCGTATTTCTACCATAGTGGGAGAAATGGCTCATGGTCAGATATGGAGTGAAGAGGAGCTATGTTTATTTGGCACATGTGCCACAGACGAAACAGAAATCCTAAAACCACTAAAATTTGACACCACTCTATTGTTGTTTTTATTTCCAGATGTAAGTTGTACTCAGTGTCTTCTTCAGAGGTTTTTGTTGTTTCCTTCAGTAATTCTTGGTGCAGCAGCGCCACCACAGGCAAGAGGGGGGAACAGATTGCTCAATGGTTTGGCTTGATTGACTTAGTGCAGTGTGAATGTGAACCACAACAGCTAAAAATGTAACAAATCTTCCAATTTTTGTCCCCAATCGAACAGAGTCTACCAGACTATCAGGTGTGAAAACACCTTAAGATGGCAATATAAGAACCAAAATATTAGTATGTAAACCAACCACCCCTAACGTTGGAGGAAGCTATGCTTTCTTGTTTTTATACTGATTAAAAATATGCTTTCCTTAAATGATTGGGGTGGCTGAACATTAATCTATGGTGGTCAAGGCCACCATTGGCCACCCCCTGGCTCCACCACTGCACCTCGTGGTGGATAAAATTGCTCCATCCACTCTCCAGGATCTGTCATTCTGCGCTGCCTCAGACAATAAAAAAAAAAAATAATACACTTGAATATCTTGCACCAAAAAACGTTAAGGTTTACTTACATTACCTGTTCTGTTCCAGTGCAGAAAAACACTCATCTCCAACACCAGTTTTGGATCATGCACCAAAGTAAATTTAGGATCAGTTTTAAAAATCGGTTGCAAGTGAAATAAAGCGTTTTATTAATGTTTATTTTTGTTTATAATTACTTATCTTAATTTTAAAAGATATTTATAACAATATAATAAATACCGCATGTTTATTTTGTGTTTCTGTTTTGGTTTTTCTAACAGAATGAAGGCCTACTCTTTACCACCAATCTACAGGTTTTCGAAACAAAGTGCAAGCGTAAGATTTAAAGTTGTGTTTGTATAGTTTGTTTATATTTTTTTTAACAGTTTTCAGTACATGGAAAGACTTGAACTCCAGAACTGTTGTGAATTTATATATAATGAAGGGTTAGCAACAATCAAATACATAAAACATATATTTTAATCTTATATTTAATATAAAACTTATATTTTCTAACATTCCCTACATCTTAAATTGTTTAGTTTTGTTTAACCCTAGCCTCATACCTGAACTAATACTACCATTACTAGTAGTAATACAACAAAGATATGTTTCACTTCTCTTGAGTTTTTCCAATTTGGAATTAACTTGACTCCAATTCGCTGCAGAGTAAGTCCCCGGTTCAATCCAGTGATAGTGGAGACGGAGAATCCAAAGACTCGCCTCCAAACCACAGCGGCAGCAGCAGCAGCAGCAAGGAACATCTGTCCGTTGTCAGGGAGGGCTCTCAGGCCAGACTCCTCTCCCTCAGGACCATGGAGAGCGGACAAAGCATCACTGCTGGCACAGACAATGGTAACACACACACACCCACACACTCCTAAAAGTGGCCTGATATGACGTAATGGTTGTGGTTTAGGGATACCGATTCAGTCTGAAAACTGAATATTTAATAATTAGTGCAGAAACACTCTGTATGATTTGCTGCAAGTTCTGAATCAAGTTTAACTCATTTTATTTCTGTGCTCTTAATGCTTCAAATAAAACGTTTCACCTGACTAAATGTTCTGTGTTAGGTACACATGAGCTAAAGTGTGACGAGCAGTAAACACAGTACCTACCCTCTGTTGGACTTTGTTAATAACTGGACGCACTATTGTTTTAAACATGGTATGATGTCATTCACAGCTGGAGGAATCTTATGTAAGCTGCTGCATGTTTTTTGTAGCCACATAGTGGCACTGTTGCTCTGTGAAACATGAAGCCAGTTCTAAAGGAAGTTGGTTTGGCATCATGGCATTGACCATCACTACAAGAAACACATTACATCATCGTCTGGGTGGATGATCAGGCTTATATTGTCATTAAAAACACTGCATTAGTCTTTATTTTTCGGCTCATTGTGGACCTTATTTCTTTTGAGATTTAAGAGTGTTTGTTGCCCACAATAGCGTTTTTCATTGGTTGTGTTGAAACACATAAAATTACACAAAAATCAGGCATGTCAAAATGCAGGTCATCCTGTTGTGACAGCTGCTGAGATATCCTGTCTTGACTTGGTTTTTATATTATCTTGTGCAACTTGATATATGTTAGTTTTAGGCTCTTTTTGGTGACAGCAGAAGTTCAAAGGAGTGTTGAGAATTTCCCACTGTTATTTAGAGAACCTGGCACTTTGCATCAAAAGAGACGACTCAATATAATTTGTGTGTATTGTGTGCACCAGCTTTGTCTTTCTGTGGGATAATGTCTGCTTTTTTATCCCATATTGCTTTGTCATATTGCAACCACAGAAAACTGTTAACTACTGACCTGTGATTACATTAACAAACATGTTGGAGAACAGGAGTTCAGGAGAATCAAGTGCAAGATGAGACGATTTATGGTTGAGTGTTTTACTTACAGCATTGCCCACTGTTTGACCTATAAATATCTTGCAGATGTGGTCATATTAACAATTCAACTCAATTTAGCTTATTTCTATATTGTCAAGTCAAAACAGAACTAATATCAGAGCACTGTACAAAACATTCTATACATTATAAAAGCCAATTAGTAAAGTTATCTATCTAAGGAAATCAGCAGATTGCCTTAAATCTTCACTTCGTCACAGTTGCCCATCCAGAGCAAAGACAATGGTGGAAAGGAAAAACTCTTTAAACTGGAAGAAACCTCCAGCAGAATCAGGACGAGCGATCATCTGCTTTGACCGGCTGGGTTTGAGAGGATCAGGAAGGAGAAACGAATACGGAATGACAGGTCCAGGTGTGCTTTCTATTGGAGGAAAGACAAAAAAACACACGATAAGGATATAAATAATTACAAATACAAACAGGTAGAGTAGAGCAAGTAAAGACAGCAGCAGAGTGAAGAAATGTGGTAAATGTGTCCTTCAGCAGTCTAAGCCTATAGCAGCATAGCTAAGGGATATTTCAGGAAACCCAAGCTGACCCTAACTATAAGATTTATCAAAAAGGAAAGTCTTGAGCCTAATCCTATAACTGGACAATGTGTCAGTCTCACGGACAAAAACTGGAAGTTGGTTCCACAAGAGAGGAGCCTGGTAACTGAAAGCTCTGCCACCCATTTTTCTTTTGGCAACTGCCTGGGTGAGCTGTCTGTCAGATAAATTTGGGCACTGGGCAAGCAAGATCCTTCAGAAGGCATAGACCCAGCTGCTAAATGAACGGGTGAGACAGACCAATTTTACTATAGAAGTCTTGAATGCCAAAGAAGCGCACATTAAACAAAAACTAACAACGTGCCTAGATCAGACCACACTTCAGCAAGTGATGAACTGTACAGATCAGGCACGCTTAGCACAGCATGTCAAGTCCAAGACTCAACAACAAAACAAGTTTAACTTACTAATAACTTATCGACACCATCACAATTCCAATAACGACACATTTAGTGTAAGACAACACTTCAGTAGACAATTACATGCCAGGGAGACAGAAAAGTGGGTGAAGAATTTATTTGACAGATAGCTCACCCAGCCGGAGACAGAGATTCTTGCCAGGGGACTGAACTTTGCGGTTGCACCAAGTAGAATTCCTCTGGTGGAGATGATCACAGCCACAGAATCAGCTATTCGCAACAACAAAATGAAAGAGTGTGATACAGAACAGCTCAGAATCAAAGTTTCAGCCTGCCTCAGCAATGCCAAACCACCACCTTCCAACATCAGTAGAGAGGAGAGGGATGCACTCACCACTCTTAGCAAGGACAAAAACATCATCATTCTCCCAGCAGACAAAGGAAGGTGCACAGTGATTTTGAACCAGAAATACTATCATGAGAAAATCATGACACTCCTTATTGACTTAACCACTTATGAACCTCTGAAAAGAGATCCAGGAAGTGGCTACAAGAAGAAGTTCATAGATTGCCTGAAATTTTTTGAGCAGGACAAGGCTATTGACCGTTTTCTGTACCACAGACTGTACCCAGGGGAGGCCACACCTAGTCTGTATGGTTTACCTAAAATCCACAAACAAGGTGTACCTTTAAGACCAATTGTTAGCATGATTAACTCTGTCACTTACAATGTTTCCAAATATCTGGTGTCTGTACTCATCCCTTTAGTTGGCAGCTCAGAACACCACATACAGAACACCATGGACTTTGTGGATAAGGTGAGGGATGTCATCATGGAGACTGATGAAACAATGGTCTCTTTTGATGTCACATCACTCTTTATGTGCATTTCTGTTGATGATGCAGTAGAGGTGGTCAGTTTAAAATTAAAATCAGACACCACTCTGAGCAGCAGGACCACGTTTTTCACAGAACAACTGTGTCAACTCTTGAAACTGTGCCTGCCGTCAACCTACTTCACATATGGGGAGCAATATTATAGGCAGAAACATGGGTGTGCTATGGGGTCGCCAGTTTCTCCTATTGTTGCCAACCTGTACATGGAGGAGGTAGAAAAGCGAGCCTTGACGTCCTTTTCAGGGACACCACCAAGTCATTGGTTCAGGTATGTTGACGACACCTGGGTTAAAATCAAATCTCAGGAAGCCCAACATTTTACTGACCACATCAACTCTGTGGATAAATACATCAAGTTCACACGAGAAGATGTAAAAAATGTCAGGTTGGCTTTCTTGGACTGTGAGGTCTCAGTTCCTGATAGAGGACATTTGCAAACTGAGGTGTACTGCAAACCCACCCACACAGACCAGTATTTGCAGTTTGACTCCCATCACCCTTTGGAACACAAGTTAGGAGTCATCAGGACTCTGTACCACAGAGCAGACAGTGTCCCCACTAACTCGGGAGCCAGGCAGAAGGAGAAATCCCACACAAGACAGGCTCTAGAGCAATGTGGATATCCTAACTGGGTCTTCCTAAAAGCAGAGAAGAAACCCAAACAGGACTCCAGTCAGCCAACAGGTGAAAAAGAGGAACCCAGACCCAGACCAGTGGTCATTCCATATGTTGAGGGAGCATCAGAGAAACTGAGACGTTTATTTTCTAAACACAATGTCCCAGTGACTTTTAAACACCAAAATACATTACGGCAAAGACTGGTTCATCCCAAAGATCCAGTCCCCCGGCACAAACAGAGTAATATTGTGTATGCTGTTCAGTTTCAGGAGGGCTGTGATCAGTCTTACATCGGGGAAACTAAACAGTCAAAGGGATGGCCCAGCACAGAAGACAAGCCAGGACTCTGCGGTCTACACTCATCTCCAGGCCAGTGGTCACTTTTTCAAGGATGAAGATGATCACATCCTTGATAGAGAGGAATGATTGTTTAAGAGGAGTAAAGGAGGCCATCTTTGTGAAAAGAAATTATCCATCATTAAACAGGGGCAGAGGCCTCTGTGTTCAATTGTCCCCCTCTTACAATGCTGTTATTGCTAGTATCACTCAGCCCCCTGTGAATAGCAAACAGCCATCCGTGTGCTAATGATCCATCGTTAGGCTGATGGTCCTCCTTGATCATGAGCTACTTTTGGTCGTCAGCAGCAAACTTGTTGATCCACTACGAGAAGGTGGTATTTATAAGACTGAGCTGAATACAGCACCTCAGAATGAAAAAGTATTTCAGATGAAAGACAAAACATTTCTACATTTTTTGTTAGTTTTGTTTTTTGAATGTCCAGAGGACCACACTTAACTTTTTAAAGATTTTTCTACCTGGATTATTGAGCATGCATCAGGATAACTGTGTAGTCCAAAACTGATGGTGGTGTAAACGTTTATAAACCAGCTACTGCTATAATATTTTGTGGGGAGACCTTTTTTTTTATCTCACCTGGTTGGGTTTATGATCATATTTAGCTTCTCAGATCACATTGTTTGGTCCTTCATAGCAACTACTTTTGGTGTAAATTTAATTTTGAGATATCTTGTCCTGACTGGGTTTGAGGAAATTATCTTCAGTTCTGGTGCCAAAAAATGCAGCCAAACAGCTGACAGACTTTATGAAAAGAACAGCTGTCTCTGATGCACTGGAACTTTGGAACAAATACAACATATAGTTATACAGGTGTCATGGTACATTATATCTGCTCTTGAAAGCGAATAGGGAGAAACTTTTTAAAGACTGGAAAGCATTGGGATCAGAACTTGCATGATATTAATACCAGAAAGAAAGAGACAGACCGTAACTTGAGATTCACCCTCTGTTCTGTAGTGACAAGGTTGTCCGTTTGTGTGTCAATGTGTGTTTGTGTTTGCATGCATACACTCATTATTTACTGTCTATCAGCTACTGGTACCAGACAGAACAGAAGTCTGGTTGTTGCTGTTGGGCGTCTCGTAAAGCTTTCACCTTTTCTGCTTCATTAGAGTGAACACTGTGTGAGTGACAGCAGGAACAAGGAGAGAGGAGGTGTGAC